GAAAATAATAAGACATTTATTACAATATATATTAATTGTAGTTAAAAATAATTCTTTGAGAATCTCAATTTATATAAATAAATTCACCAGTGTAATGACTAGCACGACATCTATGTAGGTTAATCACTAAAGTTAACATGTTAACGCGACGAAGACCTGGTAATTCAACTATAGATTTACACATAAAACAGTCTCCAAAACAATTTAAATATTTATTTCATCATTACTTAACAATTATGAGTAAAAATAATAATTAGTTAACAATTTGTCTACAATTACTATATATTGTAATAAATGTCTTATTATTTTCGGTCGGAATTTACAAATATAACGGAAAACAATAAAAAGTGAAACAAAACAGTTTTTTGTTGTAATAAATTACTGTTAGCCATCCCCTAGCGGCGTCCGATTTTAATTAAATTATACAAAGTAAGGGCCAATGATATACAGTGGTATATTGTAGATTGTATAATTTAATTAAAATCGGACGCCGCTAGGGGGTGGCTAACAGTACAATAAATAGTATTATTTCTACAAATGTTTCATTTTATTAGCAAATATTATAATAGATTTATATTCAAAAATATTTATCCCAACTCTGATCGCAATCGGCGTCCAAATCACATGAACTGTCCTTCACGTCAAACTCGGCCTCTTTGAGGGTCTGGTCGGGCGTCACATCGAAATAGTGAGTGTCAGTCGAGCTGTTAAGTCGGGGCACAATCGGCGGTTTGATCGCCCGCCGGATCAGCTGATCCCAGTCGAAGCCGGAGAACCATTTGTGACTCTTCAGCTCCGAATAGCCATTCTTCTGGACACCGATTCGTTCGCTGGGATTCTCTTTACACAATCGACGGATCAGATTCACGCAGTTTTTCGAGAAGATGGCCTCTTCGAAGCCGATGGCGTCGAAACCGCGAAGTATTATATTATATGTCTTCAGCGGATCCGGTGATGTAAACGGAGGCCTAAAAACAACACATGAATATTGAATTTGGTTATCAATGGTTGACACACAAAATACATGGTAATAATCAAATTGAACAATAGATATCACTTACATTCCGGTCAACAGTTCGTACAGCAAAATGCCGATCGACCAGAAGTCGACGGCCTGGTCGTGACCCTTGTTTAGTATAATCTCTGGGGCCACGTATTCGGGTGTACCGCAAAATGTCCACGTTTTTTCACCCGCGCATAATAACTATCGTGATACAAATATCTTGATTAAGGTACAATTTTATTTTATAAATATATTGGCGATAAGACTAATAATACAAACTTTACTAAAACCAAAATCTGTGATTTTTAAGTAACCAGTTTGATCCAACAAACAGTTTTCCGGTTTTAAATCTCGGTAAATAATCTGATGGGAGTGTAGGTACTGGAGCGCCTCCACAACGCACCCAACGTAAAATCGGGCTGAAATCTCTTCAAACGCGCCGCTAATACATATACAAAGACAAAAATTAGCACAAAAATATAACTACGATAACTCGTGGTAAGTATGTGTCTCCCGGGAAGACTGACCGGTGCCTCAATAGTGTCCAGAGTTCGCCGCCGAGAGCGGCCTCCAGCAAGAAGTAGACCGACTGGTCGTCTTTGAACGTGCGATAGAGTTTGACCACAAACTGATGCCTTGAGGCCACTCTCTGGACAATGCGCTCGTTGTTGATGTGCTGCTCCTGTCGTGTCGACCGGACAAACGCTTTGGCGCACGACTTGAGGGCAAACACTTGGGACCGTTTGTGTCGGACGCGGACGAGATCTACTTTGCCAAAGCCCCCGATGCCCAGAGTGGTGACCGATTCCAGATCGTCCAGTTTCAGGTCAATCACCGACGGGTCGATGCCCTCTGTGTCGCCGCTCTCCGAACTGTCCATACAGTGGAACACATCCCTGTCCTCGTAGTACTTCGTTCTGCGAGTGTCCATATGTGATGTCAATGTTATGTCAAATCATTTTGTTTTGTTAAGTCATTTGCACATATTTGTGTATGGTTTATTTTTAATACTACTAGAGTTATGGAAATGAATTGTGTCATAAGAATTTAAACTATCTGATATCATTAAATAAAAATTGTTCAAAAACGACAATTTATTGATTGAAATAGAGAAATTGTTTATGTCATATCCAGATTCTCTCTCTCTCTCTCTCTCTCTCTCTCTCTCT